ATCAATTTGTTGCACTAAATTTCGACGATTTGTGCAAATCATTTCATCACGAAACTGCCGATATTGGCTAAGTTTGTTCATTTAACTGCAAATTAAAGCGTTTTCTACATATATCGAATGCTGCATTGATTGAAACTGCGGTGGTCTTAATGTTGCGAAAGGTGAGTTAAATTCATTACTGTTATGCCTAAAACGATGAGTTTTATACAGACGTAAAACTTCCTCATTCCGGGTCTCCTGGTTTCTATTATAGATATATCAAAAAGTTGTTTAGGCCAGTTTGAACACCCCACAATTTGAATGCAGTAAAGGCTGCAGTTTTACTAAATATGATTCAACTTTCCAGTTTACGTCAGAAGAACATATGTATGCCGTTAAAATGCAATAGTAGCCAAGAAATAAAGGGTCATCGAATAAGTAAAAACTAAACAGTGGAAGATATCAATATGATTTTTCTTTTATATTAAATATTGGTTGATACCATTTTTAGTTAAATACGATTTCATGTAAATAACAATCTCGAGACTCCTGGAACACCTATCTTTACCGCTTTTTCAGATATATCCGTAGCAACGGTAATCTTAATGAATACGATCATTAATAGTTCGTGGTTTACTGGGGTACGCCAATGCTCCAACAAAACCCGAAAGTAAAAAGTCCAACAGAACTATATCGCATTGTCTTTTTCGCAAACTTACGTAGCCATTTTCGCAGAGTACATGACCATTTAACTTGTCTCCCAATAAATTGTTTTTGTCACGAAATGTATGGCACGTTACACCCAGTATCGTCCAAGTCAAAGTGGTCTAATTTTTTTTTTATAAAGATTAGTCATCACGTTTCTCTAGCGTTCTCCTTTTACGGTAATTGCAATGACATTTTTGTATTCGACACAACATTTTCAGCCTACAAACCATGCCCAAATGTTATTTTTGGACAGATAAAAGTCCTTTAGGAACAAATATCCGATGTGTTTCATTTACACAAAAGGGACAATAATCCTCATTTACGATGTCATTTAACAAAATATGAGTTGCAATCCCCTATGGGGATGATGGGACATGATGTCTATAAGTTGGACGTCGAAGGCTATAAATGTCATGCGCTAAATGCGTGTACAGGTTGGCCAATGAAAAATACTGAAAATGGTGCCACCATTTCAAATAGCACTTAGGCAGGTGCAGCGTGTCCTGCCAAAGAAGATAAAGCTGTAGTACCAGTTGCCACTCTACGGCTGCGGGGGAATGCTGTTGCTCTTGTTTATACCGCAGATGAAATTTTGTGACGCTTATTATTTCCTCTTAAAGATAAGATGTAAGCCACTCAAGAAAAACGAGCGAGCGATGCGGAACTTTGATGTAATGCCGACGCATTAACCTTGGCATGAGTACGTAACTGCTAAATATTATTAAACAGTATTATTTGAACTTCCATCGGCTGAACGCTTGCTGTTATTGAACATTACTTCACGAGCGTTTTTGATCCGTGCTCCTAACTAATTTAAAGGGTCCGCAAAAAAATTACCAGTTACCGATTAGCAGTTAAGTAGTATTCAGACCGCAGCTGCTGCTGCTGTGTAATAAGTAGAATGAACTTTCCATAGCTCCCGTCGTCAATTGTTGAGCTGTTGTTGGGGTACGTAGAGAAGCAGCTGAACTATCAGTTGCGCCGTGAATTTTATGAGAACTTGTTTCGGCTGATGATAACATCATTATTATGAAGAGGAGAATTTACTTTGGTTAAATTTTTTCATTATAAGGTTACTCTTCATTAACTGTTGCTATTGTTGCAGAAAGTTTTCTTAACTCGAATTTGATACAATTAAGTTCTATATCAAACAGCCCTTATGCATCAATTTTTGCAATAAAACTCCACAATCAGATATTTTTGACATATAAAGGTATATTTCTCATGAGAGCCATTTTATGGGGTGGGAGCCAAAAAATAAATATACGTGGTACAAATTTAATAAAGTTAATTTCTATGTCAACATCACCAGGTATTTAAAAATTTTCACACTGAAATATTGAAAATGAGTTTTTTTTTTATAATATGAAGACTCAACATTCGTAAAAACGTTGAAATGGGAGAAGGTCCAAGAAATTATCGCATTTTTATATCGATACTAATACGGAGATACTGTTACTCAGTGATTTCCGTTGCGAACTTCTGAAAATTGTAATTTTTTTTTTAAATAAGACGTTCGCTGGAAAGTGATAGAAAAAATAGTCCACTTTAATCCATTCTCAACAAGATTCGTTCTTTGTCTAAAATATGGCAGTTGACCAATTTTATCACAAATCTCCAGCTCAAGACGAGCCGACAACCTTATATCGGTTAAGAAACATTTTCTGAAAAATTCATTTTCGAGAAAATTGGATCAATCGCATGAGCTCTTCTATGCATTACAAACATCTACTTCTATATACCCTATACTACAAATAGCGCAGAGTATAAAAACTGATGGACTGACGCACACGATTCGCTTAATTTGATAATCACTACACAGTCTTACTAAATATTTTGACACGAGCATCTAAGCATAGTTAACGAAAAAAATTGTATGCCATCACATTTCGACTGCCTTTCGACTTCGATAGACACTCAACATATCAGAAAATTTAATTTTTGAACAAGTGCGAAAAAAGTATTTTATCAAAATCAACGCATTTATTACACACGTGTCTCAGCATATATACAATATTATAACGTGGTACTTTAATACTTGGTATTTTGGGACTCTGCTCAGACGTCACCATGGTTCACGTTATCACAAATTTGTTTACGAGGCGTCGACACCTTCGCCAGTACCCATTTCGTCGTTATACTCCAGCGTAATTGAAGCACTCTCCTTGGTTGACGTAGTAAGCCGAGTTTATTCCGGTAATATAAAAATGACTACTCTTACACTTATATATATATATACAATATATATAATCTTGCGATTTAAGTGGAGTTAAATCATTTAATTCCACAATAATAATGATTATGTAGAGATATTTATGCAATCATAATTTAATAAAAATGAAATTAAATCATATAATGTAGTTCTTTAAAGCACATAATTCGGGTGACCGTTATGTAGGGGTGTTTGTATACTAATAATATAGTAAGAATGAAATGAAATCATATAATATAGCCATTGAAATCATCTAATTCAGGTCATTGCGTTGTAGGCAGCAATATGAGGGATGCCCGATTTTGTACGTCATAATATGAATAATACGACTGGATGAGTCCTCAAAGTAAATTAATATATCATAACGACTAAAAGAGAAAATAAAAATTGACACAATGTTTTATGTGTTGTAAGCATCAATTTGCTTTACACATTCATAAAGGTAATGAGCAGGGTATTATGCTATCTACCATGTCTAACGGCTTTTTCTACGTACTTTCCGGCTTCTCGTCGTTATGATTTAACTCGTTTCCGCTAAGCGGAAGAACCGTTTTTGTTTTATACGCAAAAAGATGGTGGTAGTCTATTATTTCAGAGGAAAGTAGATGCCAAATTGAAATTTTTAAACTTATATTAACACCCGGAAATGTTGTATACATAATCTTATAATTAATTTCCAAGAACGAAGTTAAATATGTTGAAAATGTGAAATATAAATGGTTTGAAAAGAATTATTTAGCTACAGAAGTCAATGTTTTGTCTTTGCGAAGTTTGTTGAGGGACCGCAATCATAAATATAACTTTATGTAACGTCTAGCTTTTTAAACACGCAAAGACGGAGCGTTGATATGGCCAGTCGATTTACAATCTAAGGCTGTTATTATACTTTATGCTACATTATATATATATGTATACATAATTTTAATTACATTTATATTTATACTTGCAGTTATATTCATAATTGTTATTACTTTTAAGGTTATTTATTAATAGCCGTAAATTTTCTGATATGATTGTGTCTTTTTATATATTTACCTCAGATGGTGAGTATCCATTGTTCATCGTAAGGCAAATAATAGTTTATTGCTTGCTCTTTTCACCTTTTTTTTACGATTTCCCTGTTCAGCTAATAAACATAAGGGATTTTTTACTCATTAATATCTTTATACGCCAGAAAAATGTTCACATCTTGCTGTTATTATTATAGATATTGTTCTTTTGCTGATGAAACACTGATTAAAAACCTTCAGTTTATCAGCTGTACCCGCAGGGAAATTGCAATGCATCCTAATGTTTCCGTTTCAGTGGTAATCTGTTGTTCGTTAGTTTGCAATTTTCACAAGTCGTGCAAATTGCAGTTATTTTTCTTTTATATAGGCATTTTTTGAGCATAAATCATTGTCGTCCTAATGAAATGCTAACTTGTAGCTGTCGTTAGAGAGTTACGCAAATTGTCTTTTCGTGCAAGAATGAATGAGTGTATATTTTTGAATAGAATTTAAAATAAGAACTGAAGGCAGCTTCACAAATAATTTTATGTGTTCGAAGAGCAAATAAATACCACCGTACATATTTCTCATAAGTTACAGTACTCTGAAAACCTACAACTACAAATGTACGAAGAGTATAAATTATACGTCCAGAAAGACTTGAGACGGAACTATCTTTTCTTATGCTTTGTATTCTTATGTTCAGTCAGTAGGTCGGGAAAAAGTCCGATCTAATCCATTTTCAAAAAAGTTGGGCTGAAACACTTCGGTAAACCAAATTTGTTGAAGTATCTGAAAACTTATGACTTGTCGGTTGAGCACAAGGATGCGTGGACAGACTAGCGTAAACCAACTTAGAAAATGATTGTAAACAAGCCAATATAACAAAAGAGTGGTCTATATCCGCACAAACTTAACCTATCCTGTACATAGAACTCTTAATCCATTTAATGTTTTGAACTTAAATACTTAATTTTAATGAATGAAGTGGTAGTCGTACAACACAAGGATCGCTTACATAAGTATTTATTAATATCTTTTCATAAAACAATTTTTTAAAAAATGTCCTTTTATATTATAAACATAACTTTTTAAATTTACGATAATTTCAGATATTTCACCATACGTTTGCGTGTCGAAAAGCTCCGCTATGACACAAGAAGCAATGCAGCCACAGCATTACTCACAACATGATAATGGTGTTCATGTCGCTGTTAGTACCATCAATTTAGCCGATATTGAGGCCAAATTAAGAGATGCACCCGATAAGTATCTCTATTATATAGCAGAGTTTTTGGCTGGTCATATTAACGAAACGAAAGATATTGTTGCTCAGTTTAATGGTCCAATACTAAAGGCTAGCATTCAATCGATTTTTTGGATATTCCTCTTACAATATGCAATATTGGCCATGTTGGGTATTGGTATGAATGTTGCCATTATTGGTTGTTGTTTGTATCACCGTTTTTATCGGGACGTGACACAAGTATTTTTAATGAATTTGGCGTTATGCCACTTCGTACAGTGTGCTGTCGTGTTGCCCATCACGCTGATGGTGATGATAATACAAAATTGGATTTTTGGGCAATTTTTATGCTTCTTTTTGCCCATGCTTCAGGTAGGTTTAGCAGTACCTATAATTAAAAAGATTTTTTTAAACATTGATCAAAATTAAATTAAAATTCGACATAATATATAATGTGTAATATATGATATATAATGTGTATAATATATTTAATACACAATGTGTAATTTATAAAATATAGCTCATAATACATCCTATGATATATAACGTATATACCATGTATGAGTCTGAATTTTGGTAATTCATTTCCATCTCGATATCGACTTTCGTTTTGCATATATATTATATATATAAAAGCATCTAACGAACCGTCATAAAAGTTTTAGTGTTGTCTTTAACTTGCCGAGACTAACAACTTGTTTATATTTTTATATGCTTATTCTGCCTTGTAATCGCTTTTAAATATCTTCACATAAACTTTCACATATTTACAGCAGCATATAAAACCACGTTATCAAGTTTTATATTTTTGTTTTGTGCGAGCATGACGTTATTGCTGATACAACACATTGCTCGGATGAGAAACAAAGAATTTTTTTTATTGCGTTAAAGGGCATAAAATTGTTAACCGTTTTACAAATTCTGTTCAATTTATGAACACAATGTATAAAAACGCAACGAAGGAAGAAATAATTTTATTGCTTGGTTTTCTGTAAGCTAGTATCACTGTTTTCTGTATAAGATACATTGACTTATAAGTATGTGTAGTTTTACAATCTTTTGAAAGAATAAAATTAGATTTCTTCTTATCTGTAGTAAACCGTTTTAACTTCAACTTCTTAGGTTACAAACTAAAAAGCAATGACTCCGAATGATTTATCGCGTAACGCATTATTATTATCATTATTATTATTATGAGTGCATTTTGCATTATGTACGACACAACGCACAAAATCGGTTGTAAGCATAGTTTATGTTTTCATTAAACCGAAATCACATGGTTCGAAGAACTTATCGTATGACTAGCATTTGTTTATATGTGCGCCAATGAAGTGCAGAGTTAATAAACCAAAACAAATTCTTTACCAAAAGATTTCTTAAAGTCAAAAACAAAAGAAATAGAAACTGATTTTTTCACAGCACAAGACAATTCCGACTAGTAGTATTGTTAAGTCAGTATCTAATAACTATTAATCCATGTTTGTATTTCACATTTTGTATGTCATATTTTATATTTTAGATTCGTTTACTTCTGGTCCACTGTACATGTCTGTTCCTTTTTCTTCTCTCTGAAAGCGGTGTAAATATCGTCATAAGCAGACTGTTTTGTTGTTCTTGTGTTTTTTTTTTAGCTCTGAGAAAAAAGAATAAATAGATGCAAAGACCACTAATGACAAGACGGTCTAATATCCTATTCACAAATTAAAGTAGGGGATTATTGTGTTCTTTCTGTGTTACTGTTATCTATAACAGTAGTAATGCTGGTAATTAGCAGCAATTTGACAGCTTGCTCTTTCATTGCCATTATTTGTGTAATAGTTTCTTGATTAGATGACACATTCTCTGGAACGTTTGCCAACCAGAATTCTATAATATTCTGTGCTTTGGAATACGTATACGTGCTGTGGTATACATATAAATGTGTATGTATGAAAAAAGTGCAAACAACACGTATATATGTAGCAAACATAATTCGTTTTGTTTTCATCGTTTATTTTGAAGAATTCTAAACTTTGTGTTCTTCAAATAAATCAATAAATTTTAATGAAAATTTTCATATCAAGAAGTATGACGAAGTTTTTTTTATACTATGATTAAAAAAAGATGTTGTAGGAATTCATCTTTATCTAGCATAAAAACTTAATATCATTTATATATTTATTAATTTCACTTGTTTACACATATATTTGACTTTATTTTGTCCAATCTTTCATATCACAAATGTGTTATTGTATACGGCGCCTATTCAAATCATTTTATTATTTTACTGTTTATATATCGGAACTATGGTCCACAATATCTTTAAATTATTTATAATGTAGTACCCAAAGAATAATTATAATCCAATCACAACAGTTAAATAAATGAATATACTCTCAAAATCTTGAAAACTAGTCCTTAATACTTAAAAGCTTATGCAAATAAAGTTATTTTTTTAATCTACCGATTAGTATGCTGTAAATCGGCATGGTGCCGGGCCAAGAATTTCAAGTTTTAGCGATTAACTCGACAAACATAAAATTTGTATGCTGTTTGGTTTTTCCGTATGTACACGCTTATATGTATACCATAGCAAATGTTCACTTACAAACATAAAATTGCATATGCTTTTGCACTGCAAAAGTTCGACAGAATGTCACATTTTATCGAGAAACTATGAACAGACTAACTATTATTTGTTCACACAAATGATGGGAATGAAAGGGCAAGCTGAGAATGTTATTACTACTATTGATAACAGAAGCGCAGAAGGTGCGTAATAATTCGCTACTTGGAGTTTTGAACAAAATGTTGGATCTTGTCATTTAATTCTCTCTGGTATTTGCCTTAAAAAAAAATGCATCCAGAGAAAACACTCAACTAGCAGCATCTAGTTACGTACTTTCATACAGACGCTTATGCGCAAAAGTGTTTTGCTTTCTCAATTTTTCTGTCGTTTTAGTTTGTAGTCTTAAGAGCGACTCAATTTACTGTACAAGCTGAAGTTGAAGACTAAATATCTCGCGTATTCTTATTTTGGTTTTTCCCGATTTATCCTGCCCAAAGAAAATCTTTCTGCAGTGCGTGATTTTATTTTCCAAACCTTAAATATTAATTTGAAACTGCCGACGAGAAACACACTTCTGATTGAACACACAATAGCTAGTAACGTAATATGTACTATTAATTAATTAGCATTCATTAATACCAAGACGCTTTTTGGTCTATAAAGAAACATTTGAGAGACTTAAGGAGATGAATAGCGTTAATTACACTAGTCACGATAATGGGAATGGTATGGAAGCGTTATTGTCGTTGTCGTAAATACAAAAAGCGATTCTGTGTAAAGTTTTTGTAGGATAACCGAAATGGCGATGGCTTATTTTTAATCGCCTTGACCATACATATTAGAAGGACGACCGGCAATTTAGAGTTCATACGAATTCCGTAGTATTTAAACTTCTTCTAAATTTTATAAACGGGAATTAATATAAATTTTCCTGTACGCCAACTATGTTTGTCAGGAGCCATGTGTTATAATTTTACTTCAGCACATCGTATACCCTGTACTCTTTACAGATATATGGATCAGAGAAAGTGCCAGATGTCAGTCAACTTTAAAAGAGGAGAAACCGTAGTGCGAACCATCATTCAGGAGACAGCGCAACTTCGCAATTTAGTCTTATAAATTTAACGGAAACTTTGAACCCATGAGTTTATATAAACGAAATGAAAATATGAATTGTCTTTCATAATAAGGAGCAAAATTAGAACTTCAGTTACAATAAAAAAGCTTGAAGAATTCATTGTAGGTTTCAAATCCACTTTATGATTTGGATATACTTGTATATATGTGATATCCGAGTTTAAGGATGTAACTTGCTAATGACTGAGCAAAAGATCTTTCGAATTGATAGCTATTCTCTTGTGCTTTCTTTTCGTACTTGCATTTACCCTTTTCAGTCTTTCGTTTTGAAGAGACAGATATCCTTTCAAAACTATTTGAGGTGCTTTACTACTCAGTAATGAGAAGTCAATTCTGCCAACGGTTCCATGTTCAAGCTTGTTCCAGTCCTACAAAAAAAAGAAAATGTTTACAAACACAATGTTTGTACGCATATCATATTTATTAATTTCGCGCTACGAAATCTCTTAACTACATAGTGTTATAGATTTTCCATTTGATGCTATCAGGAGAGCAAGCATTGCCCAAAGCCGTGTTCCTATTGTAGTCCCTGGTAAACCGGTCTTTCAATACAAAACTAGAATTCAACTATTTTTTCCTTTGTTTATCGTATTTGCTGGATATGCTTATTTGTGTTCTGGTTTGTTTCTCGTAACAGTTTATTCTGAAAACCTGATAGACCGACAATTAAATTTAATTTTATTTTATTCCATTAACTGAATTTAACTTAATATCAGTCAATTAATGCAATCTAATTGAATTTTTTCCTCTTTCTTTAAAATTTCAACAAAAAGTCGCATCAATGCATTACACTTTGCTAGCTCTATGCTCAACTATAGGTCTCGCTTGTTTTTTAGGACACAATTGATTATCGCCAAGAAGCTAATCGAGGACCATTTTCGCCAGCTTCGCAATACTTTCCAATACCTAGCTTCAAATTATCCATTTCAATGCTTAATAACGGAGCGAGGCGTAAAAAATGCGAGCCAAATTGATGTTTACTTGTTTTGTATAAACAAACTGCATATGATAAACAATAACAAGCATGCAATATGAAAGGAATAGAAAATTATGTACAATTTTACAAATGAAAAAAGTAATAAAGTCAAATCCAGAGTCAAATTCAAAATTTAGTTCAAATTTGTACGTTTTTTATTGCAAAAAATGTTTGTTATTGTACGTTATATATTATTATATTATCTGATGCAGATTTTCCGTAAAAATGAATATTAACAGTTCTGTTATAGTGATTAATTCATATAAATGATGTTTCCTTCATCACTTTATTAAACTTTCCTTGTTACAATTAAAAAGAAGATCCAGTTTATAAAAAATTTTACTACCAGTTGTTATTTAATTTTTATGTAAATTTTTTAAATACATTTTTAAGATTGTTGTGTTTATAAATTTCGTGCCAGCAATGCTCTAACTTATTCATTCAAGTGCCTCAGCCGTGGTGAATCCACACAACCATCAACATCATTATCTTCGAAGGCCCCCTAGAATCCTGGTGAATTCAAATGATCTCTTTCCGCTTTGCATAGGATGCAACTGTTGTGAATCGTCGTACAAACGATTTTGCGATTCTTGCCAACTCCTTTGGGCTGTAGGAGCTATTTCGCTCTTACTTTAGAATACGCCAAAGACCTAGAGAATTGTTCAAAAACTATAGGTAGAGTTTTGAAATAACTAAAAACCGTAGTACTAACCTCTATACACACCATCGCACCTTTGCTTTGGAAACTTGTAACTTGTGCATAAATCACATACATACAACAATATATCATAAATTTATACGTCGTTTGTACAAATTAGAAAAAATTTACTGACTCGTTTTAAGGTACCGCTAGTGTCGGAAGCGTCCCGCAAAGCCTCTCTCGTCCGTGTCATGGTGATCCTTTCTTCTGTACGGTGGTGGTCATTGTTCCCCTATTCAATAAACAAGCATAAAAGCAAGTTACGATGCGTTGTGCTGGAAGTGGCTAACGGTGCTTAATTTACCTCAATATTTAAAAATAAATTTTACTTTTACCAAATTTTTTTTTTTCTTCACAATTCACATCTAATTTGGAACACACTTTATTTTGTTTGTTTTCAATTTGTTTAAGTTTTTAAGTTAATAATTCATTTCCTAACAGCTGTTTATCTTTTACAGTGTTTTTTCGGCAAATGCAACTCTAAAGGAGGGATCTGTGGTAACTTTGCTTGGTTTACTTTAAATACGAATGCAAATTTAATCTCAACAACAGCAATTTTATTGTCACCAGATTTAACGTAACCGAAAGGGTTCATTCTTGCCTACACGATTGATTTCTCTTGACGATGGTCACCCAATTCATTGTTGTCTGTTTACATGATTACCGCCCGGTTATTATTGTCTGTCGCTTAATGCTTCCCTTTTCCTCTTCTGTTAGCTAGTCCCGTCTTCTTTAAACGTAAAAGTAATTCTTTTCCATAATATCATTCTAGGGCGATCGTTGTATTTCCTCCTTCCCTCATTATTGCTAGGTAAATCGTCTACTCCCTTATTTGACTTACAAAGAGCTTATATATTTACATACTTATATATACAAAGCTCTTTTTCTCTGAAAGCACTGCTTTTGAATTTCGACTTTAATGTTATAGTGACAGCTAATGCTTGGTTCACACTATTGTTCAAGAGAGCACCTATTAAAAGTAGACAAAATGAAAAGACAAAAAGATGTGTGGGACGCTCACTTTCAGCGTTCAACCAGCTCGCATTTAACTGCTGCTCCTGCTTTAATATTTTAACGTGCCAAGTAAGGAGCAAATATTGAAAAGACACTCCTAAGTAATATCAGCAGTTGAGGATAAGTTGGTTGGGGTTGGTAAATAAATATGGTAAAACGTGCAGTGAAACGTTCCGTTATTCTTTTTGAACAAATTCATGCATCTCGGGTTTTGCTTTCAAATGGCCAGCAGGAAACCGTAGATATGACGGGTAGACCTTGGCAACGATACCGTGTCTCCCTCTAGTTAGTTAGTGGAACATATTCCTTTTAAAAAGCGGCTGATAGAAGACATTGTTGTGGTTGTGACAGTCTCTATGGAATCCGATGGAAGGAGCACCCCACCATATTTCCTGAACTAACTAGCTTAGCAAGATATACGTCGTCAATTGTGGGGGTTTCCATATATGGCGACAAGAAAAACAATAGCCAGAATATCAGACTTTAAGTTGCGCTTCGATGTAGTTCGGAGGATGATAAATTTTGTTTCAACTTTTCATTACAGTTCTTCAGCCAAGAAAAAGCAAATGAAACTTGTGCGGATTTAAGAACTCAGAATATTAAATTTTTAACGTGTCGCGGAGCAGATTTTATTAAGTCCGTCATATTCCTTCTCTTTTTCTTCCCTTTTTGTCATATATGGCCAGATATTCTAGACAGACTTTTAAAGTTTTACGAAGATGTATATATCGAAGAAGTCTCACCTTTTCCCCCTTTCCCTGTTATTTTTGTTGGTGGATCTGCAACTTAATGACTAGTTTGCATGAATCCAAAACGTTTTCCACAATCCTCTTTTAAGAAATATGTGGTCCCCCTCTTTCCCTTTGCTGTATTATAGCTCCTCGATTTAGAATATACAATATAGTTCCTTTATGCATCATTAAATTGCAAGTTGTCTGTCCCGTTCTTTTTTATTATGCTTTCATTTATTTTTCAGGATATACCACTGCATGTGGCCATAATAACGCACATACTTATTGCCTGGGATCGTATGCGTTGGCTCAGTGATCCAATCAAATGTCGTTTTCCAGCTTTTGTGTGCTCCTGTGCGACGTGGTTAACGGGAATGATAATTGCATTGCCATATCCCATCTATACCATTTATCTGGAAATGGGGGTAAGCTTGAAAAACATATCGGCTGGTATAGATATGCTAGTATAGATATTTACATGGATATTTATGTAAAATATCCATACCTAAGTCTTCTGCAACTAATAGTAATTTTTATCTTAATTTAAAATTATTATTGCTGCCTTCGAAAAACAAGAGTATAGTCAATTTGTAGTGAAACATTTAACATCTGGAGATCATTTGAAATATATTTTTGCCATCAATGATTAATACGAGATTTTTACTTGATTTAGCCATATCTCTTCACGTGACCTTTACATGGTCTCTCCATTTATATGTGCGCTTATGTCCAAATTAGCCGATTCGAGTGTTAGCATTCCTTTATTAATTTCTGTTTGTCTGTCCGTCTTTATATCCGATTATCTGATGAAGAATTTATCTATCCTTTTGTTTATTCTTCTCTTCTGACTATTTTATTATCTTTCCATTTTACTCCTTATCTAACTGTTCTGCTGGAATTATATACCTTTAACAAGTATTGGCAGCTGTTTCCTTAGTTGATGTCTCTGACAGGTTTAATTCGAGGAAGATATAAGTTTTTTACCTTCTGTTTTACTGAAACCGACAGTAAATAGGTAAGCCGTTGATCGTAAAAATAAAACAATCTTAAAAAAAAAAGGAACTGAATGTAAAGAGTGTAGCACACCTTCCGAAAATTTTCAATATCAGTCTCATGCGAGAATATGCTCGATGTGTGTTATGACAAATTAATAAAACTTGAAGCTTAGAATTGAAAATTCTCAATTTTCAATATATTCTCCCCATTAGTTGACACCTTTTGAAGAGTAAGCACTCTTTTACAAAGTATTAATTATTAGCTAACGTAGCTTTCGGCATTGAAAATCGTGCTTTTAGTGTTGGAAAGTACACTATTGTTCAACCTCCTTTATAGGAGGGAAGAGAGAGAGGAAACCATTGGATCTTATATAAGGCTAAAATGGCAAATGGCTATTTGATAGTTTGCATTTGTAAAAAATCAATTATTTGCGCCTGCGTTTCGGAATTCGCGTCGCCGGGGTAAAAAATAATTTGGAAATGTGCGCAGTTTTATCTTATATCTTCTTCACTTCTGACTTTTGATACTTAGATCTTCCCAAAAATTCACGTTTGTTATTTTTTTCGAAGTAGTTCGAGTACCAACGACCTTTGTTGGTTTCAGTTCTTATTGTAAAGTTTTTACTGTCTATTACACTTTAATGTTTAGCTCATGTTTAGACCTTGCAGCCATCACGAAAGGAGTTCGTTTTATTACATTGCTGTTTGCCAACTCAACAACAAATGTTGGATGCACTAACAAGTTACCTCTACATACATTCTGTAAAGCAAAAGAATTTTATTTTTTCATTTAGATTGGGCTGCGCAAGTTTTATACCACCTTGCCAGTTACTTATCTATTAGCAGAAATATATATGTTTCTTCAAAAGGGGAATAAGCATGAGAGAGGAGAATATTAGGACACGCTTGAGATAGTTGACGATCAAATATATGTCCTAAAAATTTTATAAGTAAGTAATATCTGCAAATATTTAATAATGTCTGTTTGTTTATCTGTTGTACAAATTAATAAAGATCTCAAGATTTGTATAGGAAATTAAGACTTCCTCCATTTATTAGGTGCTCAATTCCAAAACCTAAATGTAAAACTTCTCAAGCACAAACCCGCAGCTCTCAGCCACAATTGACTCAAGAGTCAAGATCAAGTGTAATAATAGATGAGATAAAACCAGCATCCAACATATTTACAATGATTAAAAACTGAAAGTACTCGGCAAAATTAAAAAATTTTAAATATCGTTGTTACTCATAATTTATAAAAAAATTTGCTGATAATGTTTGAATTAATTTGGCTTAATATTATCCTTGAGGTCCAAAACCACTACTGCTTGCTCTACAGTGAAGGCTTTTAATTTTTTTCTAGAATTTAGTCCAGACGAAAAATTATTGCGCTATGATTTGACCTATGCAGATTCTGCCCATATTAAAGGGAAAGTTATTGAAGTCAATTAAGGTAATGTCCCACTATTGTACTTTGTACTCTACTAAGTTGTAAGATGGAACAAACGTAGCTGTCTCCACTGCATATATCTATATATCCATATAGTATCATACTATTATGGGACGACGTCGATACAATTAATCAAGCAAAAAATTCGTGGTGGTTTTTTGCAAATAATACAATACATTTTTCTTATAATCTAAACAAAATTTACTAAGCCAGAGATATGCCACATGGATTGAGAACGTTTTGCCATTTATTAAATAAATTCCCTTAGGCATCACTATAGAATTTTTCAGATTTTTAGGAGTCAGACTGAACTGAATTATTTTTACAGGCATCTTGGACTTCTTAGCCTCTTAACAAACGGTAGTAGAAGGAGACAAGGTCCAGACTGTGCGGTAGATGAGCCTAACTGATTGGCTAGGTTAAAACAGGCTAAACAAAATCTGGGTATTTGTTTTTTTTCGCACACTATCACAGGATAGTATAGGTACACAGATACCTATTTTTATTTTAAAGACACTCCACAGCAATTTACATATTTCCACAAAAAATGTAATGTGAAGGATCACCCCCTAGGCTGCAATGGTATTATAATGTAGGAAAATTTATTTACAACTCATTGATTAATACAAGATTTTGAGTTAAGAGCTAATAGCTGTGCAATCATCTGCATAGTTGAAATGAAAAGCTTAAACGCGCTACACGCTGTCTCCTTTACCCTTTACTTTGGTATATTCACTAGACGTTGATTCTCCATAAGTTTTCTCGGTATGGGGACTCTATTTTGTTAGATAATGGTATCGATGAACATCACTTTCAATCAACAATAGCGTTCTACTGAAGTAAGCTTGCTTTAATAGATTTATTATTGTTATTATGAACACTATTTGAACAATCGAAAATCAATTTATTTGAACATACGATGAAATAATTACAGGTCTTGCATTTTACAATGGATTTGTACCTTATGTCGCATTTCCTGTTGTACTGCGGTTTCTTTTATATCAGCAAACCTAAGTAAACAAGTGCACTTATTTGTCAACTTTTGTCTAGTAAATGAATATAACTTTGGAATTTTTTAAAATTAGTTTTCGAAAAGATCTTATGTCTGTATATACGGTAACGTAGTTTTTAGATAGTTTAGGGTTACGCTCGTTTCAAGATCTATACAGCTATTGCGTTTATACGTAAGTCCGCTATAAAAATCGAATAGATTCCACACACAGAATGTCTGAAACAATTGATCAATCAATATTGAGGCTACGCCAGATTTTGGTAGCCGGTATATATTATTATTATTATAATTATTATAATTTTAGACTAATGAAATAAATTCTCAGAATAAAAGAAAAAGACATTGAACACTAGCACTAGCAACAGACTATCGGCTCTAATTTATAAAAGTACATTAGATATTGACCCTAATTGTTTTAATAAAGTAATATATTGGATTGATATTCTGTTCTGTAGCTGATTTAGGGTTTATCGTTCTAAATGCAATACTTTTAGCCAAGGTAAAATTACACAGTCACAGAGAATGTGTTTTATAGTGAGCGGCCAACGCGATTTCTCGAAAATATTTGGATTTTGATTTTCTCAACATGTGTTGGGTATAAAGGCGGAGTTCTTTGAGGGTTAATAAAAGAGTAGTGCTGGTGATGGTATTGTAGATTTTCTTCTGTAATTTTCTCTTTAACTTTTCTTGCGATGCACCTTTGAAGTTCCAAGAATATTTTGAGCCGTCTGTGTAAAAAACATTCCAACCAGTACTCTCCAATACTTGGGTTTTTTCAGCTATTAGATTCCTGAAGACGTAATTTGGAGTATTTTCTTTCTTGTGCATAGACAGCGAGATGTCAAAAGAGCAGTCTTTCAAAATCCATGGAGGTTTAACACCAAAAGAGCGGATAATTTTTAGGGGAATATTCAATTCCTTTGCGACGTACGAACAATAGTCAATTGCAAATGGTGACTTTGGAATTTTCTTCGCAATAATAATCTTTTTCACGTCATCACCGAGAATAGATTTGTTTGAATTAAGAAGCTTGGGAACTATTTTAGCTTTTAACTCATACAGTCTATTTTCTAAAGTTGGGAGACCAGTTTCAATTATAATATTATTATTAATGGGCGTCGTCCGAAAAGCATAACAACTTGCTCTGACGGCTTGGTGATAGACGGGTTTAAGGATGTGGATATTTGATTTGCAGCTATTGCCATAAATTATCTTGCTTAACACAATCATTTTGGTAAGATAAGCAATAGTGTTAATATGCGCATGGCTTCTCCAAGCAACGTATTGTATGAAATTCACCCTTGTTAAAATAGAAATCTGGTAAGCCATTTATATGCATCAGTAGATTTCCTGCATCGCAAATCTGCTTTCGACAAACGTGCATTTTTTTAGATTTTTGTATGGAAATTTTAGCCCTGACGAGTTTGCCCATGCGGAGATCTCTCGTCTAATAGATTCGAGGATGTTGATTGCTTTCGTATTGTCTTTTTCTTTTGTAAAAATGTATACATCGTCCGCGTAGAGACAATGTTCCACTCTTGGTACACGGCAAAGAATTTTGCTAATTTCGTTGAAGGCGAACTGGAAAAGCATTACAGAGAGGGGAGATCCTTGCGGAATGCCGTTCATTAGCGGAAAGGAATCAGACAGATGATTGTTGATTCTAACTTTGAACCGCCGATGCGACATGAATGATTTGATGTAGTTGAAGAGTTTGGGTCCAACATTCCGTGATTTCAAGAGTCTTAAAATAACACTAGGACTAACTCTGTTAAATGCTTCTTCGAAATCAATTGAGAGAATTGTTACGTGATTTCGTTTGGAAATTGCTTTGCTTGTGAAATAATCAATATGTAACAGAGCGTCGATGCACCCTCTAGCCCGCTTGAAACCAACTTGTTGCTTTGTTATTATGTTCTTGGACTCAAGAAACCAAGATAATCTAGATGCCATAATATTTTCCAATAC